TATAGACACACATCAAAAAGATCATCTGCCATGACTTTTTTTGGCCTTTTTGAGACAGGGTCTCCCTATAGCCCCAGCTGGCCTGGAACTTGCTATGTAGACCAGGCCGGCCTTGAACTCACAGAGATCTGCCTGCCTCTGCCTCCTGAGTGCTGGGACTAAAGGTATGTAACCATCATACCTGGCTTTAAATTCCTATCTTTAAAAAAAAATATTTTATTTATTATTCTTATTTTATGTGTATGAGTGTACTGCCTGTATGTTTGTAAGCACACATAGAGGCAGCACTAAGTAAACTCAATGGGTTAAAAAAAAAAAGAGCATGAAGTTGGAAGGGAAAAGTGGTGGTGGAGGGGGAGATAGAGGAGGAATTGAAGGGAAGGGAATGTGAATGAACTTAAGATACATTATATGCATGCACAAAATTTTCAAACAATAAAAAAGAGAAAAAACTTAATAGTGAAGAATGAAAAGAATAACAACAAAAAGAGTATAGGTTTGATCATAGCACAGCAAATAAAATAAAATAAAATAAAACTGACCTGTACAAATTTATTGAGCTTCCTTGTGCTTAGTACAGTGCCCAATCTATACTAGTCACTCAATATTACTGTTGCAACCATTAGCAAAAGGAACATACATGTATTTATTTCCATAGTGCCATTTACAACTTTAAAACATTTATTTTCTCTTGCCTCATAGAAAATAATTATAGGTATGACACTACTACTAATTATAGGTATGACACTTTGATAAGTGGAGATAGAGCTATTTTTGAGACAGGGACTTATGTAGCCCAGGCTGGCCCCAAAGTCACTATGTAGCCCAGAATGACCTTGAACTCCTGATCTTCCTACCTTCTACCTAGCAGGTGCTGGGACAGCAGGCATGAGCTACCAAGCTAGGCTCATATGATGTTTTGTAGGAGCCTAATATACCAAACAAATCTCTCCCAGGCTGATGACATGGGAAATCAAAACCAGATCTGTCCATTCAGAACTTTAGAAAAGCTAAAACATATTGTAAAGCTCTCATTGTTATGAGAAGTTTAGAGCTCTCTTGACCTCAGAGTGAGACCCCTGAAGAGATCAAGATCCCAGGCCCCACTTTCATTCCTACTATTCTAGCCTGTAAATTGCTCAGAATGACTCTGCTAGTTCCCTTTTTCCATGGCTGGGCATCATCCTCAGGAAAAATTCACACTGGTTAGCACGATGGAGATCTTTCACAATCTGATCCGCATACCTATAGGTACCCCTTTTCTATCAGTTTCCCCCCTCTGCTGGGAGCACCTTTTCTTTCTTCTCTTAGGAAATGCTAAGAATCCTTCAAGGTCTAGCAGAAGTTCCTTCTTGCTGTACAGTTCTCCTACAGAGCCCCATGCCCAAGCTAGGAGTCCCACGTGCTCATGCCACACTCTCCTGAAACATGTCCCATCATGGCACCAAGTATTTTGTTACTAGTCAGTCCATCACACTCTGACCACCACCCGTGAGTTTCCCAAACTAGTAGATCACAAGTACCTAATAAATATCCTTACTGTGTATCAGACTACACTACCAGTCACCACTCTTGTATGAATGAAATATTCCTCCTTCAAAAGCAGAGTCACTAGACTTCTGTACTTTCCTTTTCCTGACAGTTTCTCTGCATGGCCTGTTAGCATTCATCAGTTAGAGTTGACACACTCTGAAGAAATGCTGGAGCATCCATGATGTGTGAATGATAAAAATTATAATGGTGGTATCACCATTTTTAGGCCTAAAGCTTTAAGCAGTCCTTAGATTGTCCCTCCTCTACCTGTAGGTGCCTCATTCATTCATCAGGCATCTGACTACTGTTGTCTGACAGTATTCTTCTCTGTGGGGACTTCATAGTAGACAAAAGAAACAAAAGCTCCATCCTCACGGGAACTTATATTCTAATAACTCCAGGATGGACTTTCTTCCTGGTTTACTGTGATTTAGTAGTACCAGCTCAGAGGGAAGCTATTTCCCCAGAACCCAGTTTGATCTCCCAAGGAGTAAGGAATTTCTTCCTTTGGATCTAGGGTTTGGACTATGCCCTGGGAGCTAGAGAAGCCACTTCTTCACTGATACCTGTTTCCTGGACTCTGACTTTGAAGATTTCAATGGCTTAGTTATCCTTACTATAGAGATCTTTGGGGAGAATGTTCTTGCCAATTCAATTGTTTTTATTATTGGAGTGTATTATTTGTACAAAATAATGAGTTTCATCATGACATTTCCACAATTTGTTTGTTTGTTTGTTTGTATAGAGTCTTGGCCCAGGTAGGCCTTGAACTTTTGATCCTGCTGCCTCAGTCTCTCCAGTGCTGGGATTACAGGAACACATCACTACACCCAGCTTATTTTGATAATTTTCTAGCTTCATTTATTTATATATCATATTTTAAAACAAAATAGTTTTCCTCATTAATTTCCTGACCACCATCCAACTTTTATAACTAGAAGTGATAGTGTCAGAAAACTTGAACTCTCTTAGCTGCTTTTTATGGGTCTATTAGATAGAAATATGATTAAGAAAATCAATGACCACTCAATACACACAAACACTATGCACACACATACACAATTGCACTTAACTCATAAAACCCAAGAGCCTCACCTCAAGATAATTTTGCCCCAGCTTATTTCCAATTATGGCAAGGATGCAGATGTGGAATTTTCCAGTGCATGCTTTTCAGTTACCCAGCTGACTCTTGGCTCCTACACTTTGGCCCCTGTATTAAGCAGTAGATAGGTGATGGCTGACCTGATCATGGGCTAGAGTCTGCTAATATGCTTCTGTCATATATCCCTAAATACCAGGCACAGTATATATCATTAGATTTAGGCCTCATATCTCACTAGATAATAATAATTTAGAATAGTCAGTGAATTCTGGAAAACCAAAGAAACCTCTCTTCCATGAAGAAAAAATCTAGGACTGGTTGCAAGCATAAAGAAAATTAAATCAAAGAAGAGCCATATGGGGCCAGAAAGAAAATGTTTTTGAATTTTTTTTTTTTTAAATCACAGTACACTGGCTTGAAAACATGGACTAGTGATGGGTAACTAATACCAAAACTCTCACAGGAAAGGACACTAAGAATGGATGTGATGGAAAGAATCAATAGAAGTACACAGTCTGATTTAGTAAATATACACCAATATATGCTCAGCTGGACAAAAGTACTTCCATTAAATGTTATGTTGGGGTACAAATCTCATGGGTTCCCCTTTCTCTCTCTCTCTCTCTTTTTTTTTTTTTTTTTTTCTCTCTCTCTCTCTCTCTCTCTCGACAGCTGTCCTGGAACTCACTATGTAGACCAGGCTGGCCTTGAACTCGCAGAGACTCTGCCTACCGAGTGCTGGGATTAAAGGTGTGCGCCACCATGCCCGGGCCCCCTTTTTAAAAATATTTTATTTATTACTTTATTTTATGTATATGAGTGTATTGCCTGCATGTATGTGAGTGCACCTGTGTCGTGCAGTGCTGCGGAGGTCAGAAGAGGGCTTTGGATTCCCCTGGAATTAGAGTTAAGAACAGTTTGTAGCCACCATGTGGGTTCTGGGAATCAAACCTGGGTCCTCTGCAAGACCAGTCAGTGCTCTTAACCACTGAGCCATCTCTCCAGCCCCAGGTTCCCCTTTCTAAAGGAATCTATTTATGGCAGTTTAGATGATAAATGTCCTCTAATAGGTTCCAAGTTTTTGAATACTTGGCCTCAGTTGGTGGTGCCGTTTGTGGAGTTTTAGGAGGTGCAGCCTTGCTGGAGGAAGCATGTCACTGGGAAAGTCACGTCACTGGGAAAGTCACTGGGAGCAGAATTTGAGAGTTCATAACCTTGCCCCATTTCCAGTTTCTCTCTTTGTTTCCTGTGCCTGTCTGAAGATGTGAATGCTTAGCCTTCTGCTCCAGCTGCCTCCTGCCATGACTCTTATTCCTCTGGAACCATGAACCAAAAAACTCTTACGTCTATAAGCTGACTTGGTCATGGTGTTTTATTACAGCAACAGAAAAGTACCAAATATATAGCCCTTCATACACAGTCTGGTATAAGAGGAAAATGTCTCCACTCATGGGCCCTGCTGAAAGGAAAGGTGCACTGGCCATGTTCTTTTTCACAGGACTTTTTCACATGAGGTTCTGGAGTCAGCCTCTCTGGGTTGGAATCCTGGCTCTGCCAGTGACTGCTGCCATTTCATGCTCAGGTCCTTGGCTTATAAACAGACCCCAATGGACACTGTCTCTCAGAGAGTTGTTGTGAGAATTACATATGCTAATGGATGAACAATGCCAGGAACATCATACATGGTCCATAAAGCTAGTTACTCTTATCAATGGGTCTGTCTTTCAAAAGTGAACTTCAGTAGCTTTCTGTTCTTACTTTCCAAAGAGCCCTAAAACCTTCTAGTAACTATCTCAACCACAGAAAACACCACTAGTGGTCCAGTGAAAACTCAGATGAACACATTTGTCTTGGTACTTAGGATGTATCACACAGATACTCACTGAATAGAGCAGTAATCCTCAAGACCAACAGCATCATCAACTGCTCAGACTTTGTTAGAAGTATAAATTCTTTGGCTTCTGCCAAGACCAGCTGACTCTAGGAGTAGCAGCCCAGTAACATGTGTATTAATAAACCCCCAGGTGATTCTTATGCTTTAGCTTAAGAAACATGAAATGGTTCTGGTGAAGAAACACAACTTGTATTTTTGACTGAAGAACATCTCTAACCAGGGAAGTCATCCATCTTCTTTAAACATGTGGCTTTGGAAGGAATGGAAACCAGAACCCAGGTCAAAGCTCAGCTGGTCCATTCTTGGGGCAGAGTATTTGGCTGGATCTTGTTACTCTTCCCCAACTAATTCTAGTAAGCATCACAAATGCATCCTGAAAGCACTTCATGTTACACTGTAACACAAACTAGATTACCCCTAAAACCACCCCTAAAACCCAGTCACTTTTCCCTTCTCCATGATCACTCTGACCTACTGGATTTAGAATTCTCTGTGATATAGACAATAGGGATGTTCTCAGAGAGTCCTTCCAACTTAAAGCTTCCAGGATCACACCATTCCGTGCTTTGGTCCTGTTATATCTGTAGCCGAGGCAACTGACAATGCTTCGCTTTGGTGTTCTCATCCCTTTGTTCCTCTTGACTCTGATAGACCGTAACAGGAACATGTGCAGATCTGGAAAATTAGATGGCAAATTCTAGGTGGAAAAAAGGTCTGAGAATGAGGGGAAGATACTTCCAGAACATCTATCCCAGAGCAGTATACAGTGATGGATGCTTATAATCCCAGTACCTGGGAGGTAGAGGCAGCAGGATCACAAATTCAAGACCAACTTGGCCTAGACAGTAAAACCATATCTCAAAACAAAACAGGGACTGGTGAGATGACTCAGTGGGTCAAGACTTACCACCAAGTCTGCTGATCTGAGTTTGATCCCCGGGACCCACATGGCAGAAGGAGAGAACCAAGTCGCACAAGTTGTGCTCTGACCTCCACATACGTGCACATCACAGCAGTTTTCTCTCTCTTATACACTCTTATACATACAGATATACATCACACATACATACATACACACACACAAGCATGTATATACACATAAATAAATAAATATGCAATTTAAAAATTCAAACATAACAAAACAAAACAAACTAAAAATCATGTGCCTAGGTCCCAAACAAACCACCCGGAAGATTTCTCTCTGGCTCTCAACTGACTTTACTGCTTTATGCCTGTGCTTCAACTCCTGTCTTCCTTCACCAAAAAGTCAGTACCAGCAAAACAGAGCTCAGGACCAACAGTACTTCCTGGTGGTGGACTTCAATGCTCTCTTTCTCCTTTTGATCCCTCATCCATGGTTATATTGCCCACTGGGCCTCCCTGCTGAAAATCCTCAAGTTCCCCTCCCGCTTGTGATTTACAGCTTTTCTGACATTTGTTGGCTGTGCCCATCTCCTCTCCACCCTATTTTCCCCTGCCTTACACAATATTTAGACTTCGTTAGCCAAACACCACACCTTTCTTGGTGCTCTTAATCTCTTTCTACAAATTGGACTTTTCATGGCATCTAATAGTTGCTGGAAGTAATACAGGCCTGGTCAAGTTCCACAGATTCTTGAAGACAGGGAAAGTGAAGCCTGGGCAAGTGTGTGCCCTCAAGAATAGAAGCATGAAGCCTTGTGTGCCTTCATGAATAGAAGCATGAAGCCTTGTGTGCCTTCATGAATAGAAGCATGAAGACTTGTGTGTTGACATATGTCTGTGGCTTTCAATAAAAAAACTGAAAGATTACCAGGTCCTTTAAATATCTTTATCCAAAACTCATTCCTAAGAAGCTGCAGTGAACAAATCTAAGGTTTCATGGGAAGCACTGTGACTTTGGCTCCTGGCACTGTCCCTTCTCGCTCACTGTGTGGCCGTTGAGCAATTCCATTCTCTCCTTCATGCTTCAGCTGTTTGAGGTGGATTAAGAAATTCATCATTTTAGGACATTTTAAAGTACTATGGAAATGTTAATGCTAATACTGTTGATCACAGTTGTTAATATTAACCTCAAAGTCACATGGTGACACCTGATACTTTCAAAGCATTAATTATAGGCAACCTATACCATACCCTGAGGAATTGGTATTGAATCTGCTCTACCTATACCCTTTTGTATATGGTCTCCTCAAACCAATAAACTTCAGTGTGAGCTTGGGCTGCAAAGGACCTTGGAGTTAACATGTGGAGAGAGTTGGCTGACTTGACCAACCCACCCAAAAGTTTGTGGTTAATGGATTACAAATTTGGGTAATGTAGAACAATAAATCACAACTAAAATAATAAAGCTGAAAGTACACACAATTTAAGCAGAAACACCAGTGTTTTTTATCGGAAATGAAAGAAACCATTGATCATAGCAACTGTCTGAGATTAGCAGGGAGCCACATTTTCAAACATCCTGCAGTAAATCCAGAGCAGATCCAGCTGGAAAGCAAGAGTGGAAATAAAACTAGAAAATTCATACCATGCTTTGAAGTCTGCTTCTTTCACATCCACGAGTCCCTGACTCGCCTCAACCATTCTGAGCCGCTCTTGCTTGCTGAATTTATTTTAAAAAAGACACAAGCCACACACACTTGCATATAATCTTTCAAATGGACTCCAGCTTGTTAGGGAACTTGAATCCCCAAATACTTTCTCTTGCAAATGAAATCAGCCATCGGTCCCCTTGACAGCAGCAGGAGTAGAAAGACTTCCCAGCACTAAAACTACAAACCACTCTTGGTCTGGTGAGCACTGCGTTTTTTTTTCTTCTGTTCCTTCTTTGACCCTTCGATGCACTTTTAAGTTTTAGTTTTCATGTGCTATAATCTACCAAAGTCTTCTAATGGCAATAAAAGATACCAACATGTCAGATGCCAAGTGCCAGGATGGCAGCCTAATAAAACCTTCCATCTCATGAAACCACTTGGGACTCCATGTCACCACACTGAAGTAACTGCTACCCTGTTAAATTATCAGAAGAAAGCAAACTGAAGGTGTGGCTTGAGCAGAGCTTCAATCTTGTACAAGGCTCCACTGTTACTATATATCAATGCCATCTATCAGTTGTGCCGCAGTAGATGGGGACCCAGCCAGTTCTTCTGCTCAAATCCCAGGTCAGAATAGGATATGAATTTGTGGCCAGCTGGACTATGAAATCCTTTCAATAAGAGGAAACAGTAGTCACCTGTGATTGAGGTCCAGCAGTCCTCTGTGTCTTTAGTGGACTCAAGGAAGAACTGGCAAGAGCTAAGGAACAGTAACCAATGACTGATAACTTATGTGTTAGAGTTTGTGCCAACAGAACAAAAATTAAAGAAGAAAGTATTTCGAGTTACAGGGCCTGTTCAGGCTGATAATAATGGAAACGTTTAAATCAGAAAAACCATTATTTTCACTCTGTCTTTCTATGAAATGACAGGCTGGACATAGAACATTGCTGAGTCTTTCCCAATTCTATTATAAGACAGTGAGGTGGGTCTAAAGATCAGGATCTATCTACTGATAGGATTTTAGTTCTGATACACAGAGTGGGGAAAATGTTGCTGCTGATGCTCTAGGTTAAACTGAACTATGAAGATCTTCAGGAATTTTAGCATTGCTACTTGGGCGCACCTGCAGCACCCCCTCTCCCTGTACTGTTGCTTCTTTCTCATTCTCACTGCTGGGCTCCTCTGTCTCTTGATCTCTTTATAGCTCTCCTATACAAATATACTGACAATCAGACGCATGTGTAAACCAGTGAGAGTGAGAAACACAATTGGGTGGGATGACTTTGCAACTTTGATCCATTTGCATAAGTCCTGGAAGTTCTATTTTCTAAAATAAATGAGATAGTTTGTGAAAAGCAGACTATAAGTTGACAGGTACACAAAACATATGAGTTATTTTATTTTATTTCATTTTTTATTTTTTATTGAATTTTTGTGATTTCATACAGAACATCTTAATCAACTTTATAGCCCCTTCTCCACTGGCACCCACCCATAGCCCCCTCACTGGAGTTCATATATTCTGTCATTTGTGTTAAGGGCTATCATGTCAAGTTAGTGTCCCCAGACGTCCCTTAGCACAAGTTCATCCACTGAGGTCTAGTCAGCCTATCTAGAGTCCCTCTCTTTAAGAAGATCAGCTCTTCCTCACCCAGCAGTAATCAACTACCAATAATTCTTCAACTAAGATTGGGGCCTGCTGTCCATTTCCACAGTTCTGTGCTGGGGTTTTGTCTGCTTGAGTTTGCATGGGTCTTGTACATGCTGACACCATTGCTATAGGTTCATATGAGAAGGGTCCCAGGAATCTGTAGGATTCTACTTCCATATGGTCATGCACCACTTACCTGGCTTTTACAATCTTTCCACCCCCCCTCTTCCACAATCGCTCCTTAGCCTTGGGTGGATAGATTTCAATACAGGAGTCCTGTCCAAAGACCCATACTCTGTAGATTCTTATTCTCTATGTTTGGGCCATTTGTGACCTTTTGTGTTCCTGGCCCTCTGTTGCATGAGGGAGCATCATTGATGAGAGTTGAAAGATGCATTAGTGTGCATCTTGTCTTTAGTCCTTGTTCTATGTTCCATGAGCCTTAGGTATAGAGGTTGCATTGTAGATGTGCCACTAAGGCTTGGGCAATTAACAGACAATCTCCGTGTATGACTAGTTGTGGTGCGCTGCAATAATCTCTGTCTGTTGAAAAAGAAGCTTCTTTGATGGGTGGTGACTGGGATACTTGTCTGTAAATTTAAGGATCCATATTTTGCATGTAGTAAGAAATTACATTTGTCTAGGAATGAGACAGCCTTGGATTTGTCTCTAAGGTCTACGACCTCTCCAGCTATGTGTATTTGGTTAGGTTTAAATATCACACATGAGTTTCTTCCCATTGAGTGGACTTTAACTCCAATCAGGTAGCTATTGATTACCCCCCAAATAAAAGTGTCACTACCACACCAATGTCATTTGCTGTGTCAGTCACTGATGTGGTTATTAGGCCTTGAAAATGGGGTTGAACCATCTCTTGATGTTTTCCCTTACCAGCTTACAGAGTGTTGTCTAAAGCTATGGGAGCTAGCTGAAGAGTTATTTAAACAAAAGAGAAAAAATCTACTCCGTCCTCTCATTCCTTCTCAAGGAACAAGCTGTAGGGCAGGAGTAAGATTGGGAAAGTTCTTAGCCTATGGGGCTAAGAACTTCACTTCTTTCTTCTCTGGCCTTCCCACGCAAGGCCAGAGAGTGGGTAACTTAACAGTGGAATGAAATCTTAATGAAAGGACTCTTATTATGGACCCAAACAGTGAATACCGGGTCATAAGCAGTGAACACCAGGTCTGCTTAATTCAGGCAACAACCCAGCCACAAACTTCGTAAGTTGGGGGTTGAGGTGGTGGTGAGGACAACACAAAAACAAAGAACTGGGAACTTTACAAACACTGGGAGGGCAACAGCTGGTCAGCTGAGATTAAAGCAGCATGAGCAGGCCTCCCCATCTCCTGACTTCTCCTCCCCCATGGTCATCCCTGTAGCCATCCAGGGCTCACTTTTACAGCACTGTGCAGATGACCTTGTTCCAGCTATGATAGGGAGTCCTTTGATCTTAGGGGGTGGGGGGTGCTGGGCCTGCAGCTGGCAGATATAAATAGCACAGGATCAGCTTGGGCAGAAGAGGTTGCTCAGTTGGGCCTGGTCACTTGTATTCCCTCCTCTGCCTCAGAACAGACTGGGACTTCATTTCCGGAATCGGCCCCTGCTGGGTGCTCCTCTGGGTCAACCCAGATCATTTTATTGCTGGCTGCTCTTGGCTGCTTGCTGTGACTCCACAACTGTTTTCAAGTGAGCACTGTTTAAGCAACAACCTCTGCTCTGCAGCTGAAATTCATTACAGGACTCTGTAAATCAAAACTAAACCCCACCCGTGGTTGGATACTCCTCATATGCAGACCCAAGTCACTATCTTTTTATGCCAACACTGAAAAAGACTTTTATTCTTCCAAACTAACATTGGACAGAAGAAGAAACTGAGGCCCGAAGGGTTAAAGATCTGCTCATGATCATAGTTAACAAACAAGCAAAGCTGATAGAATAAATGCTTGAAACCCACAATAAAGCAATTTTATATGATATATATTTCATATATATTTCACAAGAATTTAATAAACAATATACTTGAACAGGAATGTGATGTCTAAGAAATTTCTCTCTCTTTCTTCCTTCCTTCCTTCCTTCCTTCCTTTGGTTCTGGGTATAGAGTATCTGGGTTGTACACATATAAGGCAAGCACTTGATCACTCAGCTACATCCTTAGCCCAAATTTATTCATTTGAATTTGCTGGTAAGTACCTTTATTATAGACTAGGAAAAAATATTTCCATGTCCTCTTTACATGTTCAGCTATACAAGAAAAATACCTAGAAAAACCCACTTCCCATTCCCCCTTCAGTTTCATCATAAGGCACAGCTATCAGAGGATGAACTAGTAACTCCCTTTGCTACAGAAAATTCATTATTTCTTGTAGCAGTTATACTGGAACCCAAAGTCATTTCTTTTGCCTCTGTTTTGTTTTACTTCTTTGCTTAATGTAAAGCAAGAACCAAGACAAAGAGAACCACTTATTGATTTTCAAGTAAGGGAGCAAGATATTTGCTTCTTGTTTCTTCAGAACTGAACAAATGTATATGTTACTGCATATATAATAATTACAATAACAACTTTTAATGATGCTCCTAGGTGGGGGACACTGTAATTCTCATGGTCACTGTTCTTCCAAAGTATTTTCTGGGGTACTCATTTAACATTTAATTACTGCTTATAGTATGCCTAGAACTTTTGTTGGTCACTGGGGCAAAACATAGGCACAAAAAGAATACAGCACAGTCTGTGTCCCAAACTTGCCAGTTTGGGGCTGGGAATATAGCTCAGTGGTGAAATGGTTGCCGTTATAATATGCATGAGGTTCAAAGTTCAATTCCTAGCACCAGAAAAAAAAATTAGTTTAAAAATATATAGAAAGTTAGTTTTCCTTGACTCTTTACATAGCTGAGCTGGTAGAGAGGTCACAGAAGTAAAAGAGGGCAAAACCAATTATACAGGCAAGGAGCTCTGTTCAAGTCAGTCTTGAGCCTGGAAGGTGTGGCCTAGGGGAGAGAAGAGCCAGAAGAGCTGGTAAAATGCTGTTCAACATACAGCAACAAAAGCGAAATGCTGTTCAACATACAGTGTGCCCTCACTGCAGAGTCATGGGGCCAGCAGTGAGAAGGCATAGATTCTTCATTCAAGGAATCAGCAGTGAACAGGAAGGAAAGAGCTGACTCTGAAGGGTTAAGATGCATTAACCTTATTTAGTAGGATTCTAGAAACTAGTCCATTCTAAAGAAAAGAAAAATCCCGGCATTTTTGCATTTTTGCATTACCCATGGGGTAAATATTTCCACTCTGGTTATTACAATAAACCCAAATCCCTGTATATTTTCAAATTGGCACAGTGATTTTAGGACATCCTCAGAAAAAAACAATTATCAGCATTTTGAATAGGAGAGACACCATGGAAAGAAGCCAGACAGCAGTACAGAAATGGCAGGTCCTAAAATAATCCAATTATGAGTTTAATTAATCACTTGATCACAACGCAAATTACAAAAAAAGAGGGGAAACAGGAGAGATATATTTGGAAAGAAAAGCTAAAGCAGAGTTGATAAGGAAAGGCGTTGAAGGGGAGGTGAATTCTAGCTAATTCAGATTCTCAGCTAAGGTGGCGGGAGGATGGTGACGTATCACTGAATGCAGATGGAAGAACGTAGAGCATTTTACAGCTTTTATAAATGTGTTGTTAGTTTTTACTCTGAAAGACATCACCAAGAAGCAGGCATATGGTCTTCTAATTTCTGAGACTCTAAACCAATGCTGATTCATAGAAGACTGCCTAGTCAGTCAGTCAGGAGCCTTTCTGGGCCTGAAAGTCCCCTATATTCCATCATGAACAATTCTTGGAGAGTAGAAAGGGAAGACGGGCCTGGAACAGTCGTGTGCATTTACCTAGGCTCATAGCATTGTGCCTGAAATTCAACTACAATGAGCAAAACTCAGAAATGTCAAAGAAGGACTTCAATAAAATGAGAAACCACCTTCTGGCTTGCTCTTGTAATTCCCCCAACTACATAAGGTTCACTACCTTCAAAACCATAGCCAGCCTGACCTTTGCTACTAGGGGAGGGTGAAGAAAATGTGCAGATCTACTACTGTGGAGAGGTTTTTCATGCTCCTTCTGTAAAGCTGATGAGGAATGCTACATCTCCTATACATGAAACTAGTGCCCACTTTCAGCCATTCTGAAGTGCTCAGTACAAACGGCTAAATTGCTATCAGATCACTGTGTAAAGTCAACCTTGGCGCATCAGTCTCAGAAACATTTAGCAATTGGCCAGCCCTTATACTAAAGACTTAAGACACCTACAGAAGTGACAAGGGAGATGACAGATGTGTGTGAAGATGACTTACTTGGTGAAAAGAGAACTCACTTAGAGACAGCAAAGAAGAGATCAGATGCCTGGTGAGGTGGCCAAGTCTAAATGATCAGGCTTCACTGACCAGTGCCTAGTAGCCATGTCTCTCAGTTCTCAACAGGAGGCGGTGAGACTGTACATCAGTGTCAAGTTTCAGCCTCTCCAGGACAGATCCCTTACCTTCAGACAGGGACAAATCATCAGCCGGAGACACCAGGTCTGTTTGAGAAGGGAGGGCTCCACTCAGATGGGTTGTAATTTGATTCGTCAAGATAACCTGTGAGCAGACAGAGAGAAGAGAGGGGGAAGGGAGAAGAAAGAGAGAGAAGACCAAATTAATTATTAGAGCTATCAAAAGGCAGACCGTGGTTTAGAAGACTGATAAGTAGCCAGGTAGGAAAACCCCAGCTCTAACTTTCACCGGCTTATCTTCAATGCAAGGCCTATCGGTTATTCAAAACCTAGAAAACAGAAAGCAGGTGGGTTTTTTATCAGAGCTTAAATGGCTAATCAAATTTTTCTAAATGCTGAGAAAATTGAGGTTAAGAAGAGTTTTCATATTAGCTCAAAATAAAAGGTGAACCAGAATTAAGATGAGCATGTACACATTTTTATAAAGTTTATCAATTTGTCCCAAACCCAATATATTGTTGGTACCTGTTTAAAAGTAATCATTTAAATTTTGGATGCCAGTTACTTCTTCCTGTTACTTCAAAAGTCAGTTTTATTTTCAAATTTATGAAACAGGAATAAGATTCATATTTAAAATAATAATATAGGATTCTTTCCAAATTATTTGATGTAATAAAAGAAGTCCAAAGTTTCACTGTAGAGTTAAAATAAAAGTTAATATGATGCTTTCTATTCAAAAATAAATTTCACGACAAAATTCTTGGAAAGGACACTAAAACTATGGAACTCACACAAACCCAATGTTCTATAATTTGGTAAGTCAAGAGACTTTCTTTTCCTTAAAAATCTCCATTAATAAAATTTATTCTCTTATTTAGTAACCTAAAGGAAGAATAAAATAAAGATTCTGTATTGGAAATTTTAAAACTCTCAAAAACACAATCATTTTCGAAAGTTTTGGGTGAAGTTCCCATCATAGGTATAAACTACTAAGCATCTTGGTCACTTGAAGGAAACATCCCCTTGTGCACAATTCAATGCTTAGAATGTGCATCTAGTAGGATTGTCTTGGTCTGCCTGAGGGTTAGATTATGGGTTTGCCCCCCTGGTATAAACAGAAGTAATTAATTTTTTATTTCTTATAGTACTGAGGATTGAACCCAGGGCTCTATGAATGCTAGTCTAGGCAAGTGCTCTGCCCTAGCTACATCCTAAGCCCTCCATTTTTCATTAGCTAGCTTTTCTACCACACCTCTGTCTCTTGAATGGAACAGTGACACATTATAAATCCCGAAGCAATGGCAGCTTAATTGAGGGCTGAGATGGGAGAAGGATGCAAGGTCAAGTTAAGAAATGAAGTGCTCTATTAACAGAGACAACCTCTTAAGGCTGTCATTGCCAAGGAGACTTGTGAGTCTGTAGTGTTGATGGTCCTGGGATCCTACATAGTATTCACCAGTCTCATCTCTCACATTCTTACATTCTTTTGTTTTGCATCTAAACTGGTAAGCATCCCACAGCATATGTCTTTAGTGAAAAATGCCTAGAAAAGGCCAAATAGCCTACTTTTTTTCTTTTCTTTTCTTTTCTTTTAGACAGGTCTTACTATATAGTCCTGGTTGGCTTCAAACTCACAGGGATCTGCCTCCCTCTGGTTCCCCAAGTATGAAATTAAAGGTGTGTGTCACCATGCCTGGCTCTAGCCTGCTCTTTAAAAGACAAAAACAAACCTATTTATATAGAAGACCATGAGTAAAAAATTATTTTCATCTCTCTCTTCAGAGTTTAATAAAAATGAATTCAAATTGGGATTACACTATTGTTTGGTGTGTGTACAGGCAAAATAAATCTTATAAAGGTTCTAAATGTTCTAAATTTTTATTTAATTTTTGATTGATTAAGCTTTTTTTTTGGTTGATTTATTTTTGTGTGTACGAGTGTTTTGCCTGCATGTATGTAAGTGTACCCATGTTTTACAACGCCCATGAAAGTCAGAAGAGGGCATTGGATTCCCTAGAACAGGAGTTATGGATGGTTGTGAGCCACCATGTAGGTGCTGTGAACTGAACCCAAGTCCTCTAGAAGAGCAACCAGTGCTCTTAACCACTGAGTCATCTCTCAGTCCTTGACTGATTTTTTTTTTTTTTTGGTCTTTTTGATATTTTAAAAACTATTTTATTTATTATTTTTAGTTTATGTGTATGAGTGTATTGCCTGCATGTATGTGAGTGCACCCATGTCATATAATGCTGCAGAGGTCAGAAGAGGGCTTCAGATTCCCCTGGAACTGGTGTTAAGGATGGTTCGTAGCTGCCATATGGGTGCTGGGAATTGACCCAGGTCCTCTGTAAGAGCAGGCAGTGCTCTTAACTGCTGAGCCATCTCTCCAGCCCTCCTTGACTGATTTTTTAATAAAATATTTTCTGCCTGCATGTACATAAGTACATTACGTGTATGCATGCCTGTCAAGGCCAGAAGTGGGCATTGGAGCCCCCATAACTGGAGTTACTAATAGTTGTAACCAAACCTGGGTCCTCTGAAAGAGCAGCAAGTGTGCTTAACCACTGAACCACTTCTCCAGCCTCTCATAGAATCTTTATGTGAATTAAATCAGATAATCAATGTAAGGTACTTAATGGGGTACCTGGTACCAAGCAAATGTTTAATAAACAGAAGTCATTATTATTATTGCTTCCAGAATAATGACATGTATGTTAATGTAATAGTATATGAAATACGCTTCAGATATTGGTTCTAATAACTGAACACTAAATCACAATCTTCATATCAGAAAATAGTTTTATAGCTAATCATTCCCACTAAATTTAGTCTTTCTTTTAGTTAATTGCAAAAATTTGTATAAAAAAGACCACAGTGAAAAAGATACCTAGTTGAAGCAAAGCCAATCAGATATTAACATTGCTCTGAAAACATTATGCGCTTTATCTACCAGGGAACAAAATAACGTATGTTCTAGTTTGTTAAATTGTGAATTCTGAGAGGCCTAGATATGTAAGCTTTGGTATAGGGCTTTAAATTTCTTTCATTAGCATGTGCTCCATGTACAAAGTAATAAGTTTCCTAATGACATTTTCGTTCAGTGCATCATTGACCACACTTTGACCATACTCACTCTCCACATTACGTTTATTGGTTCACTTATATGTAGAATGGAAGTTGTTTACTCTGTGAGTTATTTCCCTTCTTTTGTTCTTGTTTTTGAAAGTTGGTTAAATTTGGTATATCAACATTATAATAAAAGGTAAGGTTCCGTCTTTATGGGATTCTTCCAGACATGGTTTGGTGAGAATGACTGCAATTCAAGTGATGTGGGAACAGTGCAAGTAAAAAGACTTCACGTAATAGAATACCTATCACATGAAGCAAAGCCTGTCACCACATATGCTAGGGACATTAAGAGGTCAAGATGCTTCACAAGTTCTCTAGGAATGTATAAATTAAATAGGAAGTCATCAGCTAAAATATTTCAATCACTTTTTAAAAACTTTGATCCTATAATGGAAACTTGTACAGAGATTATGGTTTTTTTGTATGGAACTAATGATACTTGGCAAATCTCAAAAAAGCTACAGATAACTTGAAAAATACCTGCCTTGGGCTGGTAAAGCTCATTGGCAGAATACTTGTGCCTAGTGTGTTAAGAGGATCTGGGTTTGATCCCCAACACAAAAAGGACAGGACAGGACAGGACAGGACAGGACAGGACAGGACAGGACTGGACAGGACAGGACAGGAAAGGAAAGGAAAGGAAAGGAAAGGAAAGGAAAGGAAAGGAAAGGAAAGTAAAGGAAAGGAAAGGAAAGGAAGGGAAGGGAAGGGAAAAAAGAAAGAAAAAGGAAAGGAAAAGACCCATCCTCATTTTCACTTCCACTGAAACAGTAGATGGGAAATAAAACATTTTCATTCTCCAATGGCAGAAGAAGGTCATAAGTGGTTTTGCTGATTATCTTCTCCCTTTTTATTATGAGTCTTAAAGTCAAATCATAGGAGGAATCCATAGCTCCAAAACTGTGTGGTTTTCTAAATTGTGTTCACAAAAATGATACAACAGAAACATTCTAAAAGCATCGATTACAAATAATCACAACTTGCATAGAAATCTACAGATGCATTTTTCTCTGAGGCAATCTGGAGATGTGAAATCTATGCTCTTAAAATAGCTTATAAAATACTGCTACAAGTTATAAACAGTCTTAACACTATCTGGTTTCTGAAAATGAGTTCTGACTGACACTTCAGAGGGCCTTTCCTAAACTCTGTTCCATTGGAACAACTGGGACTTCCAATATTCAGCACTAAATTTGTACAAAAACAGTTTACACAGAAGTTTAAGACAGGGACTTTGGAATCAGGCAAACCTGAGTTCAGATCCTGGGTGCTATAATTTCAGATGCTGGGCTTTATAATTTCCAACCTATGTGATACGGGCAAGTATCATAAGTTCTCTTGATGTGATAATACTTAACTCCTAGACACTTGCAGATTACACTAGATAATTTACTTGAAGTCCTTAGCACGGTACTCTGCCTGTGGTAAATGTTTCCCCATCATTGTCCTTAGCTATCCTTTGCTGATTTGTGCTTTGCCTGTTCAGAAGCCCGATGCCCAGCTTACATGGTACCTGTTAATATGAACAACATGTATGGGTTTTTTGTTTTTTTTTTTTTCGTTTTTTGGTCTTTTTGAGACAGGGTCTCCCTGTAGCCCCAGCTGTCCTGGAACTCACTATGTAGACCAGGCTGGCCTTGAACTCTCCTGAGTGCTGGGAAATGGATTTTTTAAGGTGTTCATCTTAAAAGAAAATTAGAAACAGAAGTCTGATTCCCTTTTGTAGAACAACTTTGTCACTGTTGACAAAGAACAAATATTTGCTATTTATAGCCTTAAAAGCAATAAAATTTTAATTGAAAGTACATCTGTTATTTTTGCCATTTCCTTAAAAGTATAACTAATTGAAAACATACAACATACCCCACCACCACAAACTGTAACTCCAAAGGCCAGTGTGGGATTCTTAGACAAAGGAGAAGATAGAGTTCATAATGGTCAGGACTACATCTGAAATCAGGAGAAAAGAGTTTTTGGCTCAAAAGTTTACTTAGGAAGAATACTATCCTCCTACTG